CCCCTCTCTCTCTTTCCCTCTTCTTCTCACTCTATCCCTGACCGCTGATGCAGTTCCATCTCCCCTCCATACTCAAAGACAATTGGTAAGTTTATCTCTCCACCTCATTTCTTCATGCTAGCAGTCCCTTCCCTCATTCCCTTAGTTAGCTTTTGTTTTCTTCTTTCTTTTGTTCCCCTAGTTTCGTACATCATGTAGGTTGTAAAGCTTCAGGAAATTGGGGGATAAAAAGGGTCTTGATCGATTCGTTATTGATTCCACTGAAGTGAAAAACTACAATTACCACAACCTCACTTAAATTTGGAGGGGTGGTTAATGTTTCAAAAGAGTCAACACAAGCAAAAAAACAAATTATACACGTAACATGTTCGATAAAATGCCTAATCAATATTTTCAATTGGTTTTGCGACGTCTGAGTAGTGAGCCTACTTTCTATGGAAATAAGAGGATACCTTAAGTGTGGTGTGTCCATTTTTTCTTTGAACTTAAAGTGCATTTGGTTTTTTACGAGTGTCAACCCACGACCAACTTAGGCATGACTAGCGCGTCACCTTTGCCCACTTGGTTTTATCTTTGCAAAATGTATGTATTTGTGTACAAATAGGTTGTAATAGTCACTCCTGCCAAACTTTGCACACTTATGCTCAACAGCTAAGTGTGGGGTGCGATGCGCACCACTACAACGTGGAATGCAAGTTGAACTAATATGGATTCATTTCTCTTTTCTGGTATAAATGGCAATCTCTAAGATACCAACTCGTAGTCACATGGTGGGGGAAAATGGTAAATCTCTCCCCCAAGGAAGTTGTCCAGTATGAAGAATGCACAGTCAAAGGCAAATAAGGAGGTGAAAGCTAAGCAATAGCATGATACAAGACCAGGTGGAACTACTACGGTGGATACTGAGCAACCCGTGTAAAAACATCAAAGGAAACTATATTCATGGCCGTCTAGGCCAAGAGAAGCTCCATTCTAAATTCGAGAAAGAGATTCAAAGCTGCCTCCATCTAGAAGAAAAAGAAAAGGGAAAGGCAAGGCATAAACAGTGGTTTAGTCAGAGTCTGATTTTGACTCGTCTGATGATGAGATGGTTGTTCCACCACCAAGAGATGTTGTGGAGCCTAGTTCTCTGGTTAACAAATTTGTATGGGAGAAGAGGTTTATGAGCGAGCATGTATGGAAGCTATGGGGAAGTATAAGTTAAAAGTAGGTGATTCCTTAATTGCTAGAGAGGCTGTTGAACTTAAAGGCCATTAATAACACTTCCTCGAATATAGTGATGGGGATAGAGAAGAGAGGATGTTTACATTTTTCTTAAGGACCAAAGGGAAAGCCTAACTTCATTCTCGTGCGGAAGTTATATGCTAATAGGGACCCGAACCAAGGCGACATTGTATGGCTTAGCGTGTTGGAGGTGGATATTTTAGTTGTCGCTGAATATAGGTACCATTGAGTCCACAATCTTGCAGTGAAAATTAGTAAAGGAGAGAGCAAAAACCCGAGTTTCCATGCATGCTTGAGATGATGTGTGAGGATCCGAGTAGTGAAAAATGGAGCAAGAGACAAGCTTTGGCAAAAACATACATGAACAAGAAAGCCCGAGCTTGGTTGAATTGGATATGCAGCAGATGGATACCAGTAACACAAAAGACAATTTTGATTGAGGACTGTGTATTTCTAATATATGCTTTGATGTCAAGTATCTATGTGAACATTAGAGAGGTGATGAGGAGTCATATGGCCAGGACTTGCAAGAACATGTAGTGGGGACTTTACTTCATATGTAGTGTCCAAGAAAGAGATATGAGTTGTTACATAAGAAAGAGAAGTCATTTCATATGTAGTGTCCAAGACCCGAATGAAGAGAACCTCCAAAATAAAGCAAAGAGGAGCGTATCGTTGTTTTGGAGGATGAGCTCTGATAGTTGACAGTGGATTTATAGGCACGGGATTGTGCTTTATTGGCTATAGCATAAACTAGGGACAAGTGGATACAGTTGCAGTTTGACTACATGCTCGTCATCATTAAGAAGATATTGTTGAAGTAAGCATTAGTGTGCAGATAGAGCCAAAAGAGCTACATAGGTTGGAGACGAGTGTTGCTGATGAAACTCTTGCAGACGAGTTGGAAAAAGTTATGGCTACTAAGGAGCCGACTAAGGCCAGAGTGGAGGTTGTTGCAACTAGACACTCTCCTGATAGGGGTGATCTGTTTGAGGTCGTTGACATATTTAGAGTCACACTTGAAGATCCAGAAGCATGGGAGACTAAGGTTCAATACTAGTCCTCGCTGCAGCCGGAATTCATGTAAAGGAATATCTATTACCCACTCGACTTTTGTTCTTTTCATTTGTATTTTTTAATGATAGTGTGCAACTGAGGATAGTGCACAGCTTAAGTGTGACGACCCGACCGGTCATTTTGAGCTTTTGCACTTTGCTCGTTAGTTCTCGAGTGTGACCTGCCCCGTGCAATGTATTATGACTTATGTAAATCGTTGGTTTTGGTTTTAAGGTTAATCGGAATGAATTTGGAAGAAACAGTCCTCAGTTGAAGCTTGAAATTTGAAAGGTTTGACCAAGATTTGACTTATTTGTATATGATCTCGAATCGGAATTTTTATGATTTTGGTTAGCTCCGTTGGGTGACTGGGGACTTAGGAGCATGATCAGAATGCATTTTGAAAGTCCGTGGAAGGTTTAGGCTTGAATTGGCGAAATTGAGGTTTTGGCGTTTTCTGGTTGATAGGTGAGATTTTGATATAGGGGTCAGAATGGATTTCCGGAAGTTGCAGTAGTTTCATTGTGTCATTTGGGATGTGTGTGCAAAATTTCAGGTCATTTGGGCATGGTTTGGTTGTGTTTTTTATCGAAAGCGTAATTTAGAAGGTTTTGGAATTCTTAGGCTTGAATCCGATGTGAATTTGGTGTTTTGATGTTTTTTTGAGCGTTCCGAAGGTTGGAACAAGTTTGAATGAGGTTACAGGATATGTTGGAATATTTGGTTGAGGTCCCGAGGGCCTCGGGTGAGTTTCGGGTGGTCAATCGGACCATTTCATGTTTTGCAAAGTTGTAGAAAATTTCTGTTCAGTGCTGCAGGCATTTGGCCTTCGCGTTCACGAGTAGGCCCTCACGTTCGCAAAGGGTTAGTTGGTGAGGTGGAGATTTTAGCCTTCGCGTTCACGAGAGAGGCTCCGCGTTGCGAAGGGCTGGGTTCGTCGTGCATCGCGTTCGCGTAGGGGAAGTGAGCAGCTGGATTTGAGGATTTATTTGTTCTTCGCGTTCGCGGAAAGAGACGCGTTCACGTTGGGTTAGGGAGCCAAGTCTTCGCGTTCGCGAGTGGTAGGACGCGTTCGCGATGAAGGAAATTTGGTCAAAGTAATTTTGTTCTTCGCGAACGCGAGGCTTTGACCGCGTTCGCGAAGAAGAATTTTTATGCCTGGGTAGAATGATTTAAAAGGGCTATTCCGCGATTTTGAGGCTAAGTACCTCCATTGTTGGGCGATTTTGAAGCTTGGGAGAGCTAATTGAAGAGGGAATTCAAGAGAATTTCATGGAGGTAAGATTTTTGGTCCCTAAACTTGTTTCTATGATGAATTCTATCATTGTAAGCTTGAAATCCATGGAAAAATCAGTAGCAAAAATGGGTAACTAGGGCTTGAGATTAAGAGACTTTTGAGTGGGGATTTGAGGGGCCAAATGAGGTCCGATTTTGATGTTGTTAATATGTATAGACTCGTGTGAGGATAAGTATTCCATTGATATTAATTTTATCGGATTTCGAGACGTGGTCCTGGGGGGGGGGCGGGTTTGAGCAATTTTGGAATTTTGATGTAAAATTGGATATTTTCGAGTGGGCTTCGTTCCCTGTATTGATTGTGGCTACATTTGGAGAATCCGGAAGTCGATTCGTACGGGCAAGGAATCGCGAGCTAGAGTTTGGACCGGATCGAGGTGAGTAATGATTGTAAATGATGTTCTGAGGGTTTGAAATACAGGATTGCACATCGTAGTGCTATATTGAGGTGAGGCACATGTTTGATGACGAGCGTGGGGTCGTTCACTATTGGGGATTGTGACCTAGTCTGTCCTGATTGATGATTTTACCGCATATTTGATTTAAAATTATTTGCTATCATCATTATTTGGGCTGAATGCCATATTTGGGCCTAGTGCCAACTATGTGAACCCTTTGGGGACTTTTGTTGATATTGCCTCATTGTTTTCTTGAACTCAGTCATGTTATTTTCTACTTTTTTTTCAAAACCCAACCATGTTCACTCAGTTTTAATACTCAAATGATATTTAAATAATGTTTTGGGCTGAGAAACACTATTTTATTGTTGCCCGAGAGGCTTATGTGATTTTTGAATGAGTAAGGTCGAGGGCCTGTGTTGTGAAGATATCCTTTGGGTAGGGTTGCACGCCGCAGTGGTGATACACTGATATTGATTATGAGGTCGAGGGCCTGATATTTGTACATCACGAGGTGTCTTGATATTGATATGAGGCCGAGAGCCTGTTTATGATGTCATGAGGTGGCTTGATATTGCTCTTGGGCCGTAAGGGGCCCCTCCAGGAGTCTGCACACCCCCACTGAGCGTGGTTATCCATTGTGATGTGAGATATAGCCCGAGGGGCTGATATTGTTCTATGTGGTAGCCCGAGGGGCTGGTATTGATCCATGTGATTGTGCTCGAGGGGCTGGTACTATTCTAAGATATTGCCCGAGGGGCAGATTAGTTGACATTATGCCCGAGGGGCGAACCTTATGTGCTTATCTTTCTTATTTGCTTGTCGTGTACTTGTTTAATTGTGTATTTGTGCCCGAGGGGCGGATTTCTGTGCTTATCCGCACTAATTGTTTTGCATTCGTTTGTGTAACTGTTGAAAAAGTCATTTTCAAAGAAGTTTAAAGTGTGATAATATGTTTTAAGAGATTTTTCAGCTTCATTGCTTTCTTACTGGTTTTTAAACTTCTTCTATACATCATCTTGATAGGCCTTGCATGATTTCTTACCATTCAGACTTTAGTTATGACTATTACTCACTAAGTTGGAGTACTCACTTTACTCGCGGCACCTTGTGTGCAGATTCAGGTATTTCTGAACTCGGTAGCGGGTATTGGCTGATCGGAGGCAAAGTCATCGGAGTTTAGCAAGGTAGCTGCTGGTGTTCGCAGCACTGCTTTTCTCCCTCTTCATTTCATTAGTCTGTGTTTTGTATATTTCATACTTTTCGGTTGTATTTATACCCTAGTAGATGCTCATGACTTGTGACACCCCGGTATCGGGCTGGGTTTGGGCTGTATTTCGCACATTATAAAATCTTTTGCTTAGTCTTTAGTTTATTTACTCATGCTTAGACTGTTTATTAATGTTTAACTATTTAAAAATTGAATTGGGACTAGTTGGCTGGCCTTGTCTTCACGAGAGGCGTCATCATAATCGGGTCCAGATTTAGGGTCGTGACATTAAGTTTGGGGGTGTCAAAATGAGTTTTGATTAGCTTGTACTAAACTGATACTTTTAATCTATGTATTGCACCTTTTTTAGATATATGTATTGATCATGACTTGAGGTCACTATAATTGTAAAATATTAGTATAACCTTTCTATTGGCTTAATCTCGGGTGTATTTAAATTACTGTTCTTTTCTGAGGATGCCAATTTTTACTTGAACTGGATACTTTTATGTAGATTTTTAAAATATTTTTAAAAATGGACTTTTTCGACATTGGCCATACTAGAAAGATTTCTTGAGAGTTTAAAGTCTAAATAAAAGTACAATTTTTTTTTTTTACTTTTAGAACTAACCATTAGAATATAAGAACTAAAGTGTCTATGCTATTTGACTTATGTTATATTGGGGTTTAGGATTGGAGCATATAAACTGAATACATTCTTCATGAATTTAGGAATTGTATGCATTGATAATATGTGTGACTTTATTTTGATGCTTAGGTTCGCTTTTTTGACTCCTTTGAATCCTTTTTATGTACTTGACCTATATGAATTCTGCTTATTTGCTTTGACTTAGAGTCAAATTTGAACTGCCTTGAGTGTTTCATGTGCAATGTGTGATGTCTGATGTAAGGACTAGATTATATACTGTGTTATCCCTTGTTAGTGTTATACCCTGTATTTTCGTGCATGAAAATATACCATAAATATATTAATTAAAGAGAGCTCGAAAGTGAGATGTTACGTCCTGCATTTTTGTATGTTGATGTTTCGTCGTAAGTTAATCGACGTAAGATCGTGAATTAGATTATTTTGGAATTGTAAGTATTATTATTTTTCAAACAAGGAATAAGTAGATTCATGAAGGTGAAAGGGTAAGCAAATCAAAGAAAATAAATTTCGTCAAAGTTTGAAATTTTGGGATAAAATACGGCTTGAGCTTAAATACCCGATACTTATGGACTAGTACCATACAAGGTACCACATGACCATGATAGTAAGGCGTATAAAGTATATTAAAATTGAGTAGTATTTTAAGTAAGTTGAGATAATTCTTAATTATATGGGTAATTGATTAATTATTGAGTAATGTGATATTACCTAATTAATTAAAGATTACTAGAAAAAGATTTAACCCCCAACAAGGGAGTTACATGGCATCCACCAAACCATATGACTCTTAACTTATGGTAGAGTAAGGTGGCAAGAGCTAAATCATTTGGATTATGTGGTGGATGGATAAAACATATCTCTAACTTCCATAAAACCATGGACAAAACATATCTCTAACTTAAGAGATATGGTTGGATAAGAAACGTGAATCATAACTCTTTCCAAAGGAATCTAATGATTATTCAATGTAAATGTTGTATGTTACAACCGAAATTCATGTAAGCAATGCCTCAGGACCTTCAACAATTTAAATTAACATGAGATTTTTCAATTTTAAGGAAGTACAGTGTAATCTTTCTCAAGAGAATCGACTCAGGTATGTTAAGGCTATCCCTTCTTTCTTTTTGGCATGATCCGTACGATATAAATGAAATGAGAAAATGCACAACTTCTGTAAATGACTTTATCCATAGAAGTATTAGAGGTGCCTATACTCTTGAATTCCCATGTGTCCTATTATTTTATCATTTGTTCATGGGTCTCAGAAAAATACGTAAACTGGTAAGGTTTATTTCATGATATTATNCCGAGATGATATGATGGGATGCTCTCAGAGGCTTGATGATGTTATGAATGTACCTATGCACACGCATATGAATGACACTATAATTATTTTATGATTTACAGAATTATCTAGACATACATGTTGAGTCATTTACTCTATATTTTTTCCCATGTCTGTTATGTACTTATTTACGTGCCTTACATACTCGGTACATTATTCGTACTGACGTCCCTTTTTCCTAGGGACGTTGCGTTTCATGCCCGCATGTCCCGATAGACAGGTCGAGAGCCCTCCAAGCACTCAATCAGCTCAGCGAAAGATGTTGGTGCGCTCCATTTGCTTCGGAGTTGCTTGTTTGGTTAGTATGATTTAGACATGTATTGTTTGGTATGGCGGGACTCTGTCTCGACCTTTGTGAAGATTATGTATTCTTAGAGGCTTGTAGATAGATGTCATGTATGCAAAAGATTGTATGGCCTTGTCGGCCTATGTTCACTATACGAGTGGTTATTTTTGTCTTATAGTCACGTACGTCATATGCATAAGTTTGGATTACATGTTGGATCGTCCAATGTCGAGTATTTCTCCATGTTCTATAGTATTTATCTCATGACAGCCTCTTAAGCTCATTTACCTATGATAGTATGATACGAAAGATACGCTACGTAGGTACTCGGTTGAGTAAGGTATCGGGTGCCCGTCGCGTCCCATCGGTTTGGATCATTACAAAAGTGGTATCAGAGTAGTTTGGTCTTAGGGAGTCTACAAGCTGTGTCTAGTAGAGTCTTGTTTATGGGTGTGTCGTGCACCACACTTATAAGCAGGAGGCTACAGGGCATTTAGGATTGTCACTCTTTTTTCTTATTCTAAATCGTGTGGTAGAGCTCAGTTGTAAAAACACAATTTCTAAAACTCTATCTTATTCATAATACGACGATGATTACATCCAGAAAAATGATTGGTAAGAGATATAGCTGTGGAAGAGTTGAGTCAGAGGAACTCGATTTTTGCATCATGCTTATGATGGATAAATATGAGGTATTCAGCAGATCATGTGTATATTAAGATGTGCAAGCTTCTTAATAAGGATATCTAAAGCAAGAATTCCTATCCACTAGGGTGAAAGCAATGAAAGAATCAGAGGGTACAAGTTTCAACAAGCAAAAGAAGCAAGGTGAAGAGGGGTACGAGGTACATAGTTAGTAGAGATGAACATTATCTACAATTCAAGTAGAGAAGTATAAGCATTTTTGAGTTACCTTCAACAATAATATATGTATGTACAATCGGCCAAACCAATCCCGATGATGCACTATGGGAGCTAACAGATATGGTTTAAGAGAAGGACGGGATACCAGGATCCGGCTGGGGTTAGAATAACCCAAATGGTTGATGGATTGTTTGCGTTACTTGACATTTCTGAAGGATATTGTAAATTTACTAATAGATCTCCTTGTGAGACACCCAGATGGTGCACTCTAAAATAGTACAGCTAGATATGAGTACTATAAAGATGGGCACTGGAAGCCTTGAAGGGATAAATATTACCTTAGTGTGGCTCACATCTCTGGTAGAAAGAGAATGTTAGGCAATTCGAGGAACCAATGGATGGAGTAAGAGGGGATAAAAGCAAAAGAATGTTTTGTTCGAGTTTTTAGAATAAAGTAATAGACAGAAATGTTAGCAGAAAAATAAGAAGAGAGTTAATAAAGCAGTATGAGTAAAATGTGGTACATGGATGACAACGGTAGATCAAAAAATGATAGTATTACAATGTCCATAGTCAAGTGAAGGGAAAAACCAGAGGTGACAGGCCTTGAGACAACAAAAGAGTATAGGCCATAAAGTCATATCCTCACTTCGAAAAATAAGTTCATGACTCCAACGCAACTACCGAAAGGAAAAGCTAGACCCCTAGGATAATAGAAATCGGTATGGGCTGGTGAACAAGATAAACTAAACATGAATTAGGGACTGGGTGATTTGATAATAGTCGGTATCATGAGAATTCCATATTTTGTTTCGGCAATAGTAGAATGGACAACAGAAGAAGATTCAGGAGAAATTCGGAGAATGGTCATTCAGGAAGACGCTTTCCTAAAGCAGGCAATATGAGCAAAGTTAAGCTCAAAGGACTGTATGTTTTAGTTACACTAAGTGTCACCATCGCAATTAAGGAATTTTGTTATCCTCGGAATAAAAGGATTACCGCAAGGCGAGTAAGGGTCATCAATGGTATGAAAGGACACGGAAGATAAAGAGGTAAAACATCTATAAGTAGGTTGTCGTAGCTTCAACTCTCAATACTCTCCCAAGGAGGGGAATATGGTGTGATGTGGCGTTAAGTAAGAATTAAGTGATTTTAGTAATTATGGAACGGTAAAGGAAGAATGTGATAAAAATGAGTTTGCACTTATTCAAAGCCTATAGATATGCTACGATTCCAAAACATTATGAAAACACAGCGTCAAGGAAAGGAAGTAAGCATCTCTACCCGAGATGTTATTGATAGATAAAAAGCCAATGCGAGACGTAAGTTAACCTAAAGGAAATAACCCAAGAATGATTACAAGAAACATTGATATAAGAATGGGCCAACATGGAGAATTCAGCCTCGCTGTCATGTCATTATAATAATTGAGATATATTCAAATAGGAATCAGGGTAGTTAAAGGTACTGTATGAGTGTTATAGAGATAAAATAAAGTGCCACTAGAAAGACAATCAAATATCAGTTCAGAAGCACCCTACAAGCACAAGGTGAGGAGGTAAGTAACTACAGATAATTGTAGGCGAGGAAGGACATCAACAATTTTATTTGTATACGATGTAATAAGCTCGCAACTTTACAAGAGTCAGAGGGTCCTCCCTAAGTACTACAATGAAATAATAGCCAAGGAAATGAGAAAGAAGGTTCAACCTAAGCATAGTGACCTAAAGAGGAAATGGTCTTGTAACAACAGTTTCACAACAACATTGTACATCCTCCATAAGAAAGGGGAACCTACCGTGGCTAGTGAATGGAAAGTAAAATCAAAAGCAATATTCGAAGATCATATAATTTGTACAAAAATTCCGGCATGCGTGAGAGATAAGATAAGCTAAGTATGCACCCAACAAGGAGGAAGAAAAACCAGAAAAGGTAATGGCTTACATTTAAAGAAAGTTGAGAAGGAATGAGAGGAATTATTTGATCAATGATCCAGAGATAATTACATTATGAATGCACCTAAGATTTCGGGATATTATGCAGCATATAT